GAATTTGTCACTGTTTTATAGCAATAGTATCTTTGCTTATGCATATATAAGATCAATTAGTCATGGAAGCGAAGAAGACGAGTAACTATAACAGCATACATGGTATATTTGTGAAGATCAGTATCTTTAAATATTAGTATCTGTGGAAAAAAATTAATGTTTCGCCCGATCCTGTTTCAGACATGCTATACAGTATTCTTGAAATTAATGAATCTGCGTGTCAGTTAGAGACCTTGATTTTGGTCTAGATTTTCTGTAAATCATGATTTAGGCCAAGGTGTCTATCACCTGTAGCCTATTGACTGGATACGCATGTCTGAATGATGGTTGAAAATGACATCTTGGCTTTGTTCATATTCTTTACAGATTCTGAGAGTTACTAATTTACTTTCTTCAGGTGATGCTTCCGGAAGTTGAGAAATACTGACTCATCTTTGCAAGTAAAGATTCCGTAGCATCCGAAGTTGAGATGATTTGTGTAGCAAGAGCAATGGCATGGGTTTTGCGGATCTCGGATCGCTTATTGATATTTATCACGAGAAACCGGCTTTCGAGAAGGCCCTTTGTGAATCAGTGTTGACTTCAATCTCACTTCAGATATAAGTGGACAATAAAGAACTAAGTAAGACAATGTTATCGAAATACGACAAGTGGTTCGCCTCGGTTTGACGTTGCTTGGTTGTACTGGGACGTTCAAAGTGATGCAGTCCTTCTCCAATTTCGATGAAAACATGTTGAACCTTCATTCACCACGACAATTGAAAAACACCCTAGCAGAGAAACATCTACATAACAACCTCGAGGATACGAGTCAAGAAGACAAACCACGTGGTATTTCCATGTTATATATACTCGCCATACAACTCAACTAACGGCAGGTGTAGAAGGATTTGGTCATTTATTTACGATATCTAACTTTACCGGTGTACGTTTGTGCATACGTATACTCTAGTATGCATTTGTGAAGTACATTGCAACTATTGTGAAATGAATTTCCATTTCGAAGGGAAAGTTTGTTGGAAGGAATTCGTGATGAGATCTCACCGGAAACCGAAAGACGATTGTCGCGTAAGTAAGACTGTTGAATTGTGAGTCCTGGGCTCACCGTCCTGCGACCCCGATGAAACTGTGATAAGCTTCCGTGTATACTGTCACATACATCATTAGAGCAGAAACACATACTTCACGTAATAGATCAAAAATATTTTAAGCCAAGAGAAAATTTTATGACAAGTTTAGGTTTATAAAAAAGCGACTAGGTTTGCAGCCGGCCTACTTTTCATTTGGTTCAGAATATTTTTTAAGCTATTTCATAGAGTATGGATTCTTGTTCAGTGGTACAGATGAAAGCTTAGCACAAGTTCATTGGGGTCACAGGATGTTGATCCGAGGACGTCTTCCCTACGCGGCAATCCTATTTTGGTTTTGAGAGATGAGAGGAGATGAGAGATGAAGTTCTTCGAGCCAACCTTTCCTTCAAAATGCGAAGTCATGCCAAAATATATCAATAAGGAACTCTTCGCAGCCCAGTTTTCCATCGTTTACTGTATTTGGTACGTATTTTCTTAGATGATGCTTTCTCGACCTGACAATATCTGCCAGGGAAAGACAGACGATGGCTTAACAGTAACTGTTAAAAAAATGGAAAAGCTATTTTTCCTAATACTATGACAGAGATAGTTTTATGCCCTAATCAAATAATTGAAGATAAACCTTAGTATGAATTTTTCATTTCATATGGCTGAATATTTAACGAGGTCATGATGCAAAAGTTAGCTACATAATCAACTAGAAAAGCATAAAGCATTTTTGCGTTTTCAGAATATGCGTTTATTCGCTGCTCTCTGAGGTACTGAGGGTAACTCCTGGTGACAAATTCACCATACCTGAGGAAAACCTCTGCCTAAATCTTTACCCTCTTCCACTGTGATATTCCAGCTGTATTTATCATGTAGTAAAGCCAAAATAGAATGGGAGTTTTCGACCAAACAGAAGATCATAATTAACCCTTCATCCCGAGGCATTTCATCTTAGACATTTGTACTCACTTATCGCATGTTTGGAATCATGAATCTGTGCCGCACGCGGACTTAGCACCTGAAATTGGTATGTGTAGCAATCAATTTAGAGACCGAGGCTCGACAGGCGCTATAGACAATAGTTTACTAGCGTTTTAAAGGGTGTACTGGTAAAGTCCTCATTCAATTTGCTATTATTTTGAAGGAACAAGTAAGAGAACAATTGAAAACCACTAAACGGAATGAGATTACACTAGCAAGTACCAAAAGATGACTAAATGAAATATTCAAAGCGCTGTTCTTCCCTTTTTCCTAATTATCCTTGCTAGTTCTACACCAAATATTCAGGTAGTTTGCTCTAACAGTGTTTAAGTGCTTGAGAGGCCATAGTTGACACTGATTTGCGACTAACTCACCCTGTAGCAGCGAGAGTAATGCAGCATAGTACTGTAAATATACCAGTCTCCCGATTCGTTCTTGTCACGATACGTTGTTGGCACCTCGGGCAGGTTACTGTTGTTGGCTCCCAGCCAAGGCATTTCGGCTTCGTAACGGAGGTCATGTTTGGAACCTGTTGTTGGATAACGGCTGACAGGAAGTGATAAAACAAACAGTTTCAGAGAGTTAATCTGAGGCAAATAGAAAATATAAGATATATCTTATAATTATGATTGCTAAGATTGCCACAATGCTTGCAAATTCCACATTACATTATACAAATGGGTTTATTATCAGGAAACAGGAGTAGGCATTAATTTTGTGTGAATGTGCCTGATGGAATGATAGCTGATTCCTGGGGCTCCGCCATCGTTTTATTTTACCACGACGTTTCAGAAATAAATGGGATGCACTTTTGACCTTGTTTTCGCAATTCGGTCATATTGGCAGGAAGACCTAGAGGAAAATACCTTGTGTGAAATTCATAGTATGCATTATAATTTCTAGAGTTGTGCCGTGGACTTGGTACATTCAAAAACGTTTCGCCAGCATCGTCAGTCTGAGCACCACACCACACCACAACTAGTCAAGGGGACAAGTGAATTCAATCCTCTGACGAGTGTCTACTGAACAATTGTGGTATCTCTCCTTCTATTCGGGTGTATTCGCCTATCTTATGTCCTCGTTTCATCTCTTCACTATCACAGTTTCTTACTTGTTCAGACTGATTCATAGGCTGATTTTATTTCCTGTTTCAACAATATACTTTTGCTCACAGTAGGCGCATTTGATGCTATAGACTCCCGAACAATTTTCTTGGTAAAACTTCTCGTGTTGCGTTGGCAGGCAGGTGAAGAGTTATCTCTTTTCTTTTGTTATCACCTTGTTGTTCCATTTTCTCAATAAGGGTCCTAATTTTTGACTCAGTTATCAGGAATGCGTGCATAGCCACTTTTCGTCGTCATCCCGAATCCTCTTATTTTCATAATACTCAAGTCGATATTTGCTCCTTATAGCCCCTATATTATTTCAATGAATTTTTCAAAGTACTCGTTAGTAAGGCAAACCTGAGTCAATCTGATCAACTCTTCGTCTCAGAACTCCATGTCCGTTAGCTATAAGCTTTTGATAGTCAAACTCCTCAGTATTCCGATCTCCAGTCTGTAGTCATGATGAGACTGGAAATTGAGGATTATTCGCGCATGTAATTTCTTTCTGAATTGTCTCTTCTTGAGTGTCCGGCTGGAGCGAATGATCTCAACTTCAAAAATATTTAGTGCTTCATTCTCCTCCCCGTCAATCGGGAATTTGATACTCCCATCCGATTTGTTCAAAAATTTGAGCAATAGAAGGCAGAGGTTGTTTGACCTTGTTTTCGCAACTTGGTCATATTGGTTGGAAGACTTATTGGAGCGCACCTAGTCC